TGTACGCGGTCGGTGTCTGCCGGGACCAGACACATCAATTGTGGCTGGCGGTGGTTTGGTGGTTGTTTCAACGATGTTGGCCTACCGAGGCCGTCGCATTCGCGTGATTCCCGCTGACATGTCGATCAGAACATGTTGCCAGTATCTGCTTAGACCACCCAATCTAACATGTCATAGTCGTATAATGGTGGTGTTCTGCAAGTAGTGATGGAGCGCAGGTTAAAAAACGCTGTGTAATGTGGCCAGCGCATTCGCAGAAATCCAGCAGTCATGGCAATCATAAGATGTTTTCAACATGGCCAGGGCGAATCACATGAATTTGTGATTGGCGACCATGATTTGTAGGCATAGTTTTGAACAGTGCGACCAGAGTTGTCGCAGTGGGCGATTCACGCGGATATACTATGCCGACAACCGAACACATCAGTCGTGAATGGCGGCCTTGGGTGTGGGCGTGTTCCTAACAATAACAGGGCTTCCCGCGGTTTTCGCATCCAACCGATCCTCACTATCCAGTAGAATCATGAACACGGTTTGGATTTGTCAGTATCCGCCAGGACAAAACAACCAGCATTTGTTGTTGGTTCTGTGGTAGGGCCGCCTGTTTCGGGGCCGCCGAGTTTGTGCGATTACGCGGTTGGTCATGTACATCGTGCAGACGATATATAGTCTCTGCGCACGCACAAAATTCTTTCATGCCAATGTTTCCGCTAGTCGCCTGGACGCATCAGATGGGTTTCGTTTTGTTGGTGTTGCTTGTTGTGGAAGGGAGCGCTTGCACACTCACAGATGGAGATTGAATCGAGGTCACGCCTGGGCAGGGCGGCAGGACGCGGGCGGACCGGTGCGCAGGGATGGCAGCCGGCAACGCCAGGCGTTCCTATTCAGAAGCCGCGACGGCGGATAAGTCCGCGGCCCCACGCCGCGACCGTCTTCATGGGAACTAGGGCTTACGCCCGCTCGGGGAGCAGCAGGACGCCCGTGCCGTGCACTGTCTTTTCCGCGGACCGCGGACCGCGGCCCAGGGATGGCGGTGGAATCGACAGGATCGATATCGAAGCGGTCGCCGAGTGCTGAGTAAGTTGAAACACACGGCCGCATGAGGGCGGCCAGACGGCATTGCAATAAGGGCTACAGCGAGATTAAAGGCACAGGCGAACTCAGACCTGATCGACGACTTTATCGGGTCTTCAATCGCGGTGCGGAGAAGCTGGTCGATGCGGCGGCGGTGTGCAGGAAGCCACACATATCACCGCCGGATGCCGATCATTCCGGCCGTCGTCACGCCGGCGTGGTCGGGGTTCTCCTCATACATCACGGCAGGCGATCCAAGAATCGGGATGAGGAAACGACCCATGATCAGGATACAGCACAGACGGCGGAGCAGACGGCGGAGCAGTTGCTCTGGTGGTGGCGTCGTTGTCATGATGTGCAACGTTGCTCGATGACGCGCCGTTAACGTCGTATCTCAACTAAAGGTTCTGAAGTATGACCAAGCCCGCGGAGCTTTGAGGCAAATAGCCAAGAAATAGGGGTAAATCCCAGCATAATGCGCGCTGAACCATTCAGCTAAGGATTCGGGGTTATGTGTACGAGCCGTATACAGTAGCCAACATAGAGGACTCGCAAGTTGTGTCCCGTTCGGTACGACATAGCGAGTCGGGAGGCAATCGAGGGAAATCACGGTGTGCGGTAGGTAGGCCATAACAGGAGCTAATCCCACTGCACGAGCAGTGTCATAATGACCTCGATATTGGCGAAGGAAATGGTAGGGTACCATTTTGGGAACTTCGTCATCTGAGACTACTGTGTGCAGAAAGATTGGTTCCCTCCACCGCAGGAGAGAGCACCCTCAGTTGCTGTTTAGAGGGAAGAGAGAGACAGTATTATTGGGAGAGAGGCAAAGGCACGGTAGAAGGCCACAGAAACGTGTCTGCGGGAAACGTGCTCTGTGCCGGTTTGGCATCTCTTCCCTCGGGCTTAAGTTAAATGGTAAGAAACGCAGTTCGAAAGAAAAAATGATAGGGTGTATGCGTTCACTCAGCCTCGCACTCATTGGAAAAATAATTTCACAGCAAAAATGTCCAGATCACAATCTATTTTCCAAGTAATGATCCCCGAGTTCGCATTCGAGTGTAGCAGGACCTGTCTGCAGCATCCGGAGATTCATGAAGCACTGTGCTGTGCACGTGAAGCATCATTTTCGTGATGAAACGCTGTGCGGCAGGCTTAATGGTTCGTTCTGCTATGTGGGTTTGGCCCAATGAACCGTTCATAGTTCTCAGATTACTAAACCCATCGTCGGCGATTCTTTGTATGCCTCAGGGCGAGCGAGCAACCCGTCTGGAACCCGTGAATAAATCTGGTGGAGGAGGAGTGATGCCGCCGTACATGAAGGCGATGTTACATATCGTCCGGTTGGCCTCCGTTCTTTCTTTGTATATAGTTGGCGGTGATACGGTGAGGGTTGGGCTACTTCAGTACACGCTTGCAAACAAGACGAAGCAAGAATACCTTTCGCGTTCTCTGTTGTCACGCTTCATGCTATGCTCGGAAGTGGAAGAAAACTGGTACAGAACTGGCATAGTCAACCAAGAGTAAAACGACAAACTTCACGCGCAACCAATGATCGTCTACAAAAACGCCGAATTTTCCACCTCCAATGTTCAGAAAACATGGTTTAGCGCCCTCAAATGTGAACACGATAGATAGCGCGCAGTACGTAGATTCGCGATGGTTTGCCCGCACTCCTTGCTGGCGTCGTTCGGTCTTCAGAAAGCCCCTGTCATTGCGTTAATGAATTAGTGTCCTCGTAATGTACAAGGGTTGGTGCCAAGGACTTACCCCGCCCTCGTACTCTTTTTATGATACTGTTGTCGATTTCCTCATTTTTGTTTAGTTCTACGCGAGGAGTGAACCCGGCCAGCCGCCTGAATACTGCACGGTCTTCCACCACATGATAAAAAGCGCGGGATCCACCATCAAGCGCAACCTTTACATGTCTTCACGGATCGCACGTGCCCCGAGGCCAGGTGCGACTACTGCATGTTGTAGAAGCCTTGAAAATATATTGCTTGGAGCATCGAACCCCGTACTACTCTACATACTTGTGAAAATGTGTCAGTCCTGGCCTTGGTCTTTATTTTCGTTTCAAGGTACGAAGTAAAGGCGAACCCTCTGCCCGGCGCTTCGCAGCCGCCTTGAGAAGGCGGTGTCGAAAGGATATCCATTTCACATTGGAGGACATCATGATGAAGGGGCCAAGGTGTACGAGACGCGGACGTGTGGGGTCCGAACAGCGTGGATATCCGCTTCAGACAGTGTCGAACAATTGAAAATTACTACGAGCCGCGGAGCGAGCGAATCGAGCGATCTTTTTTCCCTTTTCATCCCCAGGAGGTAAAAAAAGACTGTATACGTCGGCCAAAGAAAGGTTCGTTGCGCGATACAGGGCCTCTGAAACTTGATTTCCGGGAAGCCGATATAGTCTACTTTTGCAACCAGAGCGAGATCTATAGGGCACCGATTGACGATCTGTTCGCTTCTGAGGATCAAGAAAATAGCGCGCTCTGCGTCACACCGATGTCGTCGTGCTCCCAGAACAGATGGCCATGTTTCATCGGCATTTATAGCGTAATTTCGTAGGAGATCTTGCTCCCCAACCCCGGGGTTTCACGCGAAAAGGCGTGTATACAAAAGCGGAGATCGCGCGCGCGCGATTCAAACCAGGACAAGAAAAACATGGACAAGAAACACCGACAGAGACGCAATAACACCACCAACAAACGCATCACCGCTGAGACGCTGGTCTGAGACCAGCTATGAAAACAGGAGGGGCTGGGCCTATACAACCTCTTGTGCACCGTGGGTATCCTGTAGGCATGCGCCATGTGTAACCTGGCGGGTGTTGATTGATGTTGAGTGGGCCCAACCGACTGAGAGCAGACCGATGATCACAATTGAACACACCTTCCCAAGCGAGTTTAGATCACACCTACCATCATCGAGAGAAACCGCCGAGGGCGTGAGGGTCTACTGCGGCTGCTGTGCGTCATCAGGATGGTTCCCCGCGGGATCGGTCTAGATTGCATCATCTCTGAGCGTAATATCGCTGTGCACTAGCAGCAGTACGATGCTGCAGATGCCAGGAGGCTGTGTAGCCTACCTCAGAGGTTCACACTCTGTGCGGCTCCAACCGCGAGTGACTTGGAATGGAAATGTGAACATGTTTATATTTATTGCTGACTCCCGAGTCAGATTTATGTTGCTGGTACTGAAGAGGAGTCAGAGGGGTGGCGAGCTTAGGGCTGCACCACTCACCTCGAATACCGGACAAATAAGCCAATCATAAGAAAGATCTAGAATGCTTCCAGAATGATTCTGGAAGCCCTCCTACGATCTAGAAGAGTATCAAGTGCAACCTAGGCTAGGACGCTTCCCGAAGATTCCAGAAGCTTCCAGAAGATTCCAGAATGTTTCCAAAAAGCTACACACGTTCTACGTGGATATCTCGGTCGACCTTGACCTAGCATACGTCCGGAATATTTCTAGAACAAGAGAATACATGCGACGGAGAGATAGATTCTTTTCTGCCGCTATGCAGAGTAGTTGCTGCAATCGTATTCAAAGGTCAAACCGTGTCCGACTACTGGTGGTCTTGACGCATGATTTTTCCTGACACGACCCCTCGATCAAGCAACTAATTCACAATGGTCACATATCCATTTCTACCTCGACCCCTCCGTTGGCATCGTCCCGAAAATTAGTTCCTTCTTGTATGACGCGTACGGTAGGAAGCTCAACAGATGTCCGATCAACACGAGGAAGTCGTTGATCTGCTGAATGATGGAGGCGAATCGGTGCTTTGGTAGGTGCTTGGTCACGATATTAGCCAACTGGTGCTCGCTGGGCCGGTGGTGAAGAGTGATTGTCCCCGCAGTACTAGCTCCCGGATTAAATAGTACCTCAGAGCCACGTGCTTCGTGCGTTGAGAGTGCATGTTATTCCCGGCCACTGTCAGCGCCACAGTGCTGTCGCTCAATGGGAACCGATCCGAAGGTCTTGAAGTTGAGTTCCGTCATAAAATTTGAGACGTAGACCGCCTCTCTGGCTGAGGAGCTAAGTGCTTGAATCTCGGCTTCCACCGTGCTTTGGGCGGTTAGAGTTTGAGTCTTCGCACCGTAGCTGATGAGTCCTCCAGTCAGGAAGAAGAGATATCTCGTGGTACATCTTCCGTTGTCGGGGTTTGCTCCGAAGGATGAATTCGTAAATGCCGCTAGCCGAAACTGTCCTCTCCTGTAGACGATAGGAAGGACTGAATTACCCCGAAGGTATCGCAGAACGTGCTCGGCTGCTGTAATGTTTACTTGCGCTGGGTTGCTGCACGCCTTGGACAGTTGTAGGGCCGCCGAAGAGAGGTCGAATCGAGTGCACTGGGCCAGGTAGAGGATGCTTCCCGTCATTGGCTGGTAGAGTTTCTCGTCCGTGGGTCCTAGGATTGGCCCTGAGGTTGATTCGTGGAAATATTTCCGCTCCGTATCCAGGAGTGCTCACTGGGTTGGCCTCTTGCATTCCGAACCGTTCCAGCAGTGTGTTCACGTTGTGCTCCTATGAAATGGCCAGGGTTCCTTGCTCGTAATCCCGCTCTACGTCGATCCCGAGGATCCTCTTTACCTCTCCTATGTCGGTCATCTTGAATCGATCCGTGAGCTCCTTCTTCGTCTAGTCCACGAGCTGCTGGTCTCCCCCCGTGTCGTCTACGTAGAACGTGAGAATCACGATGATGTTGCCGTGAGAGACTCGTCCAGGGTGCCGTTCCAGAGCGCCGGCGACTGCCATAGGCCGTAGAGGCTTCGTTCTAGTTTGTACACCATGAGTTCTCCTGTCGCGGAGTTCTTGGCGGATGTACCGGGGGCGGGTCTGACGTACACGTCTCTGTCGCAGAGGGCTTTTAGGAAGGCACCGACAACGTCCAGTTTGTAGATGGGCCAGTTATTGTGGCAGCCAATTGCGCATGTCATGCGAAAGCTCCCGATACGGCGTACTGGGGCGTAGCTGCGTCCGTAACCCTGTCCTGGCTCTAGACGATGTCCTCCGACTACCAGGCGAGCTTTGAAGCGTCCGTCCAGCTTTGTGTTGAAGACGAATTCCGTTGCGAGGATATTCTCGCCCTTGGGAACGCTACTGAGGGGCACCAGATAGTAGACGTTGTGTTTCCGCAGATTGTCCCACTCCTTGCTCCACGCTCCTTCCCATTCTTCGCGTTGGGGAGAGCTCATGGCTTCGTCGTAGGTTTTGGGGATTTCGATCGCTTGATTGGTCTCCTCCAAGATCCCGTGGTGGTCGTGAGTGGTCGTGACGTAGGCGTGAGCACCCGGCACAGTGAAGGGGTCTGCCGCCACGTGCGCGAAATCTTCAGTATCGCCAGGGCATGGGAGCTGGGCTTGATCGGCTATTCCAGCCAGCTAAGTGAAGGAAAGACCGAATGGCTCCACGCGGCCCGTTGCAGCATGGGCTCGACCGCGATCGTTCATCTTGACTTTCAGATTGGCAGGAACCAAGTTATCGTCGATCTGATCGTCGCCGGTGGGCTTCCCGCGCGTGCTAGCTCTGGCGACTTGCAGGCGCCGCATGCCGGAGGATCCAGTTGATGCAGAAGTGTCCGGTTCAGACGGGTTCGATAATGATGGGCTGGGGCTAGATGCGTGGGTTTCGGATGACGGTCCAGCTGGCGTCGATGAGAGATGCGGTGATGGGGCGTCCCCGTCGCTGAGATCCTGCCCGTTTTCATGTTCGTCCTCGTTCCCATCCAGTCCTAGGCAAAGCTCCTCCCGAGCGAGATTGTCTTGCGGCATCTTCCGGACTTCTTGCCGAAGGAGTTCGTTCTGCGCCGTGAAGTCCAGGTCGCTCGTAGAGCGGGGGCTGTCCAGCAGGGAGGTGAAGCTCAGCACGTCGCTCTCGTACCCGTTGGCTTCAGCAAGATACTGGAATGGCATTGACCGGGGTGGAGATTCGATNTCGTTCCCATCCAGTCCTAGGCAAAGCTCCTCCCGAGCGAGATTGTCTTGCGGCATCTTCCGGACTTCTTGCCGAAGGAGTTCGTTCTGCGCCGTGAAGTCCAGGTCGCTCGTAGAGCGGGGGCTGTCCAGCAGGGAGGTGAAGCTCAGCACGTCGCTCTCGTACCCGTTGGCTTCAGCAAGATACTGGAATGGCATTGACCGGGGTGGAGATTCGATAAAAGTAACATTCCGGCTCTCGACGACGGCCCCGTTGGATGGATTGAATACCCGGCAAACCACAGAGCTTTCCTTCGAAAGCTCTGTCGTCCAGCTTCTTTCGGTATCGCTCGTGGTGTACGAAGGCACGCGCTCCAATGGCCTGAAGTCCCGAGAGATCAGGTGACTTACTGTGCAACTTCGAGTATGGCGTAGCTCCCCCCAGTGCTGAGTGTGGGGACCTGTTCAACAGGTATGCTGCACTCAGCATTAACTCCCCCCACATGGACGGCGGAAAATCTCCATCCTTCAGAAGACACCGGATGACCCCGGCCAGGGTTTGTCCATCCCGTTCCGATACACCAATTTGTTGAGGGGTGTTGGTGGCGGCGTATTCGAGCTTAAGAGCTGAATTCTTGCTGTAGTCTCGAAATTCGAATCCGGTGTTCTCGCCTCCCTTGTCGCAGCGGATGGTCTCNATGACCCCGGCCAGGGTTTGTCCATCCCGTTCCGATACACCAATTTGTTGAGGGGTGTTGGTGGCGGCGTATTCGAGCTTAAGAGCTGAATTCTTGCTGTAGTCTCGAAATTCGAATCCGGTGTTCTCGCCTCCCTTGTCGCAGCGGATGGTCTCGGTCCGGTAGCCTCGTGCCGCTGCGACGCACATGTTGTACATGTGCACCTCCTCGGTCGTGTCAGATTTCTTGCCAAGCAGGTACACTTCTTTCATTTTCGTGTAGTCGTCGACGATCTTGCGCGCGTACAGGAAGTAGCCTCCTTTATATTTCGCAGGTGGATTAACATGCTCGATGTTGTCGATGACCACAAGTTGTCCAGGCCGTGATAGTTCACGAGTCGACTGCTTCAGGTGGGAGGACTGCTTGTTTTTCGCGATCTGGCAGACCCCACAAGGGGAGAGACTGTCGCCATAGTCCACCCCGGTACCCGTGTCCTTCCGAAGGATGTCCAGGCTCCGAGCATTGAGATGTCCAAGCCTCCTGTGCCAGGTGTCCGCGCTCACAAGCGAAAAGCAGACGGCGTTCGCCGTGTGGGTCTGTGACTGCTTCTGGTGGGGCACGAGGGATCTTGTGCCAGATGGCTGGACGTTCTGCACGAACGTGATGTCGAGGGTGCACATGCTTTGGTCTCGCGGATCTTGTGTGAGTGGAATCACCTTGCCTTAAATAGTGAGGTGCGGAGTGCTTTCTTCGGCGACGCAGCGCAATCCATTTTTCAGGAGGGAGGTGGGCGATAAAATGTTGCGACCAAGCCCCGGGACGACGAGTCCCTGAATCCGCACGCGCAATTGCTGTCCTTGATTGTCTTTGACGGTGCAGTGTAGAATGCCCGTGGTCGTGTCTGTGAGTTGGCTTTCTCCGGCCACGTCAACGATCTGTGGAGAGTGGCTGTAATAGTAAACGTTTCCGTCGGGGATGGGGCGATTGTCAAACAAGGTCTCCGATGCTCCCGTGTCTACCAGCAGTCCTCTAACCCCGGTGGAGCTCGCGGCGACGTTGCGTCCTGAAATGCGGGAACACGTTGCGAACATGAAGCGGCTGTCGAAGGCGTCCTCGTCCCGGGTGAAGTCGACAACTGCCACTTCATTGTTTTAGTCGTTCTTGTTGGACGCCGACGAGCAGTGAGTGCAGTCGGAGCACGCGGTGAATGCTTTAGTTGAGTTCTTGGTGTCTCCCGGGCGCTTTCCTCCTTGTTGGTAGCATTCCTTGTCCGAGTGAGACGTAGTGTTGTGCTTGGAGCACCACTTGGTAGCTCCGGCGGGCTTCGTTTACTTCTTCGCCCTGTTCTTAATCTTGGGGAAGTTTCTGCTGATGTGCCCCCGCTCGTAGCAGCTGTGGCAGATGATGTCAGACGCGGTCGTTGCCATGGCAAATCCTCGACGAGCTATGTGTCCCTTCCATCCCTTGCGCGATTGTTCGTCCAAGAAGATGTTGCGCATGGTGGGTTGCATGTCCAGGACGTTGAAGGTTGGGTTCCTGAACACCATCAGTTTGACGTCCTTGTATTCGTCGGAGAATCCCTGTACGCCAATGTCCTTGAAGCGGCGGTCGGAGATGGGTTCTCCCATCTTATCCAGCTGTGTGCGAAGTAGGTGCTTCTGGTTGAAGTAGTCGCCGGGATCTTCACCAGGGTTCATGGGGTTGTTCTCCAGCTCCTCCATCTTGGCCCTGATGACCCGCCCGTTACCCTGTCATAGTTGTTGCAGAGCTCCTCGAAGGCAGCTCATCCGTCGCCACTGATGCCAATGTCGTCTTCGTGCTTCTGTACCGACAAGGCGGCCGGAAATTCTACTAGGAGGAAAAGAATGGCGTAGAGATCTTCGTTTGCCGTGTTGGAGTCGAAGGCCGTTATGTCTGCGGGATCTGGCTTCCTTTGTTTCTTCAGCAGAGGCAGGATGTCCTTCCTGGTCACGCCATGTCTTGAACTCAGCTGGGTCCTTTCCGTCTAATTTCTTGAGACCTTCGATCACGGTTGCCAGGTTTGTAGAACCATCGCTGGCAAACGCGCTTCCACCTCCTGTGTTGCTCGTTGCGGTATCCATTGCTCGTTACAGCTTTGTTTTTTTCGTCTTGATGAAAGTACTTCCTGCTGCAGGAGTAGTTTGCTCGTGGTGCTACTGCCTGTACCCGCGACTTCCCCACCCCGTTCCTGCTACTGATATAGAGGACTCCGGTTGTGGTNACAGCTTTGTTTTTTTCGTCTTGATGAAAGTACTTCCTGCTGCAGGAGTAGTTTGCTCGTGGTGCTACTGCCTGTACCCGCGACTTCCCCACCCCGTTCCTGCTACTGATATAGAGGACTCCGGTTGTGGTTTTCTTGTTTCCGATCCCGCTCCTGCTACTGATATAGAGGACTCCGGTTGCTGATCGCCTCCACTGATGATACAGTGTAGTTCCTTATACACCCGATGCGTATGCCGCTCGAGACTCCCGCGCACGTGACCCTTGCTGCTAGTTCACCACAGAGGTTGCCACTGCTGCCGCAGCGGTGGTAACTTGTGTATACGACGTGAACTTTCAGCACTTTGGTGTAGATGACCAAGTTTGCGCGTTTGCTTGTGGTGCCGTTGACCAATGACGGCGTCGCAATCTCAAGAAATCTCCGAAACCACGTGCTCTCGTTGTCCACGGATGAAGGCTGATGTCCCAAGAGGAGGTTGCCTTGACCTTCCCGTGATGCTCGGAGCTCGTAGTGTGTGCGTTAGCCGAGGTTCATAACCTGTCAGCAAAAATTCGCTGTGCTCTAGCAGCAGTACGATGCTGCAGATGCCAAAAGGCTGTGTAGTCTACTTCTGAAGTTCACACTGCGCGGCTCCAACCGCGAGAGACTTGGAATGGAAATATGGAGATGTTTATATTTGTTGCTGACTCCCGAGTCAGCTTGATGTTGCTGGTACTGGAGAGGAGTGAGAGGGGTGGCGACCTTAGGGCTGCACTACTCTCCTGGAATACCGGACAAATAAGCCAATCATAAGAAAGATCTAGCATGTTTCCAGAATGATTCTGGAAGCCCTCCTACGTATCAAGTGCAATCTAGGTCTAGAACGCTTCCAGAAGCTTACAGAAAGTGTAGCGAGACCTACCAGCGTAGTCGAGACTGTATATATTAAAGCGCGTGCAGGAGGAACACTCGCACCACAAAGATTCGCTTGTAAATGTGTTTGTTTCTTTTCTTAATTGGCACGAACCGGGCATCGTACCTCTGGCTTGTCGTGTGCCCAGTCAGCAGCGCTGTTGGAAGAGGCGGCACTCAGATGTGGGCACTCCCACCAATCGCAAAGCACCTCCTCTAACGACGAGCCCTGATCGTCCAACTCGTGCGGTTGCGGTCGAAGACCCCCCCAAGGTCTTAACGTAGCCCACCGGTGCCCGGCACCAGCGCGGTGTGGCACAGCGAAGCAGAGGCTGCGATGGTCGCGTCCACGAACGTGGCCGTCTGGCGGTCAGGTGGAGGAGCGGAGGTAAAAGTGGGCCCACCAGTGAGCTCGCAGCCGCTGTGGGGTCGAGAGAGCCACCGCCAAGCACTCGCCGAAGCCGCCGTGGTGGAACGCTGCGTGTTGCGAGGCGGCATTCTACTCTCTCAATACTTTCCTGTCTCCTCGATAGCTCCGGCGTATTTCGGGAGAGAGAAAGGGGACTGAACAAGGTAGAGTCATTTTCCAACATGCTCTATGGGATATCTGACTCTTCACGATTTCGTTCCGAAATCTGGATTCCTCTCAAATCCGAGAAGGCTCTAACTGCACGTGTCTGCTAGCTACTGCTGGTTGCTGATGTCGGTACATTTGTAGAGCACACAGATCTTATATGCTCACGCCACGCTACTGTCAAAGTATGGGTGCTGCATGTACTACGAATGTTGCTAACAGCGAACATAGAAGGGACATGATACAACTTGGCTGCCGAAGGCCCTTGTCGACAGGATGCCAGTAGTTTTTCAGGCCAGGATTCTGACTGTTAGAAAGTCGCATCTAAAAGGTGCGCGGACCCATCGGGTAGGCATGTGTTCAGCATGCATGGAATGGGATCATGAACAGCACATCAACTCACCACATGCAAGCTGGAGACACAAACCAGAACAAAGGGCTGGCGTAGAAAGCCTTGTGTCCACACACGAAGAATACATCGCACAACATTTGGCCGGCGAGGCAACAGCAGTGAACACATACCACAGATTCGTAACACACAGGAGCAGCTGATGAGGTGGTGGACGGTATAACGGACACATTTTGAGAACACACACTCCAATGTGGGGGTAATCTGGTTCTATACTGACAAGAAACAATTTCATAAAGCTTGTAGCCAGGATTTTAGCCGAATCAGACCCAAATCTCTTGCTTCCACCAAAACACGCTCACGCACAAACAGGACGACTTGATCGAGTACGAGCAACGTTGGTAGCTTCCGAGGACCAGCGTGTGTAGGGCTAGCGGCGCATGTGCTCAGGATCGCCCGTGGCAGATTGTGGACGACGGGAGAAGGGTAAACCAAGCTCGAATATGACGTGGTTTCGGCACCCATATATCTGTGGATTTTCAAAATGTGTCGTGTGCCCCCGTTTCGAAGCAACGGGTGCCGACGCTGCTTGGGTGCGGCTCCCTTCTTCAGGCGTCTGAGCGTGAGTTTCTCATGGTAGCTGCGATGGAAGAGAGTCGTTATCGTGAGGAGCTTTCGTGTGCACGGCCAATCAACGAACTCTTGAAAAAGGGCAACTATTTTTTGTTGTTGTTCTCTTTCAAATCGCTTCGATATTTTTCTTTGGCTTGTAGGAAACACGTTGGAGAGTAAGACGCACGGCACGTCCGTCGTCTCGCCAGCCACATTAACTATGAGGCGCGCCGTTGACTCTTACAAACCGGTCTTACTCCCCGCAAAAAATTCCAGCCGGGAGACTACGACTGTAAACGTTGTACTCCTGAAACCAAGCCCCCAAATGGTACGCGCCAATCTACAACACCCACATCAAGGTCATTTTATGGATATCTACGGTAGAAGTCGACTGACATTGTACCCCTTACAGTTCCTTCTCCGGGCTTACTCGTTGCTGCTGCCATCCGTGAGTTCCACGATATCCGTAGCGAGTCTTCTGCGATATTTTGAATTGCACAGCTCGTTCTACTCTCTGAGTTTCACGTACTGCAGGGTCTCCGCTGCACCTATCAACGTCGCTCCTCCGATCTGCCAAAAGGAATCCAACTTGAACCCCCGGTTGGCGATCATACCCCTAGCCGCACAGGGGCCGTGCTGAACTTCAGAGCCCAAACTGCTCCAGCAAAGCCTTACGAAGCAAACGGTGGGAGTCAGATAAACGGTGCATGACACGACAACAACTACACCAGAAGAGCAACTGCACCGCTGTTTGCTCTCACG